ATTGTTATTATTTTAAAACTAATATAAACCGCCTGCAATTGTTATGTGGATCTGTTATCTTGATTTTGTCGCTCCCTCGTGTCAAAAAGTGGCCAAAAAATGTATCTATTTTGTACTAACAGTATATGCTTCCCTCTTACTACTTCAGTCCATGTAATCTTTACAGGATAGATGAGCTTTTAGAATGTGGTCCACAATCTTGTTTGTTTTTGACAGTGGAAATTCAGCTGCCACAGACTATGAAGATTACCAAGGGGTTTCCAGACCACTACACTGCTGTCCAAATGCATCTGCACTGGGGAGGCTGGGACTTGGAGGCCAGTGGATCAGAGCACACAGTGGATGGCATCCGCTACATGGCAGAAGTATTTACATAATTCATTTTAGCCCAACACATGAATGAATATACGTTTAGAGACATCCTAGATATAAAAAGATATAAAGCAATCCTGTTAAGGCATTGTTTTCTTCAGTGACTATGGTTGAGGGCTTATCCGTTCAAGTGATGCTGGACATGTGCCTGAAATCTTACTACAGTATGTCAGGTTCTATTTTAGACAAATATGTAGTTATCATTGTTCTATTATAAAGTGTATTGATTTATAAACAGCATTCCTGCATTTAGGTTGCTCAAGAGTGTTGAGAAACTTTAATTTAGCAATACGGAAGGACTTGTTTAACTCAATATATGTTTTGAATCTAACATTACTCAATTTTAAGTGTAATTTCTAGCACCTTCCTGTTTGACTTCTTGTGTCACAGCTGCATGTTGTTCACTACAACTCTGATAAGTACAGCAGCTTCCACGAGGCCAAAGATAAACAAGATGGTCTTGCAGTTTTAGCCTTTTTTTATGAGGTAAGACTGGCTGTAACCATCTTTTTCACCCTGTTTGAAATTAGAATAATATTTGTATTTTTTATGAATCTTTAAAAAATATATATTTATTGTGGTGCAGTGCTGCCATCTAATGGGAATAAGGGAAAGCAAATTATCTTCAAAGAACAAGAAAAATGAAAATGAAAATGAAAAATGCAAATTATTGTCTATGTGAATTATTCTGAAAAGAGCTGGGCTACACCAAATAACCAAAATGCACCAAATGCCCCCGCATTGCCTGAAGCACATAGCATGAGTAAAGATAGACATCTGTATTCTCTGAACTAAATGGGTTAATTGACCACGGTCCGTAGACTGCTGTGTGGTGGCCTACTGCCTGACATGCTGTTCCCACAAGACTGTGTTCAGGTCACAAGCTCCCAGTGCCATTTTATGGGGGAGGTCATTGTTATAGTAACACACCCACAGGCATTCTAATCTGCTGCAATATGTAGTGCAGTTACAAATGTCTTTTTTTTTTTGCAATTGCTTGGCTAATAACTGGGTTTTTAGTAGTGATCGCTAGTGTGTTCACAAAAACCTCTGCATAATGTTTTATCTGAAAATGTTTACACTTGAGTGGCTCGATCAACTTCATAGACCTATAGTTATAGCTAGTAACATCATGCCACTAGTTTAATACCACCTTTAGTTTCAACTTACTGTAAAAAAAAAAAAAAAACATATATATATATATATATATACTGTATATATTTTGAAGTTCATTTATATATATATATATATACTATTCATTTACAGTACTTGATATATGGATACTTTGTGTTTAGGATGGTCATTTTGAGAACACATACTACAGTGATTTCATTGCAAACCTGGCAAACATCAAGTATGCAGGTAATGCAAAACATTTTGGATGACCATCGCAAAAATGTTTCATTCTATGCTGCCTCGTATATCCACTTCTTTTCTGTATTTTCCCTCTCACTCTTTGCAGGTCAGGCTATGAATATCACTAACTTGAACGTACGCTCCATGCTTCCAGACAACTTGAGTCACTTTTTCAGATATCAGGGCTCTCTCACCACACCGCCGTGCCATGAGAGCATTCTGTGGACTGTATTTGATACGCCCATCACCCTCTCTCACAATCAGGTGCCTCCAAAAGTCCTCATGAAAAAGTTTTCAATCTTTTTTGCTTTCCTTTAACTTTTAATGTGGTGACCTTCAGATCAGGAAATTGGAGAGCACATTAATGGACCATGAAAATAAGACCCTGTGGAACGACTACCGCATGGCCCAGCCTCTGAATGACAGAGTGGTGGAGTCCTCTTTCCTCCCACGCCTGGGCAAAGGAGGTTAGGGCAGAGCGTCATCCTTTCCAGCAGTTATGAAAAACGCTCTTTGTTAGGCCTGCAGTGCCTGAGCATGTTCTCCCTCTCTCCTCTTTGGTTTCTTGCAGGAATTTGCCGTCAGGAGGAGATTGAAGCTAAGCTTAAGAGGATTGAGAGCCTTATTGTGTCACTGGACAAAAAAACGGTTTCAGGTATAACTTTTCATGAGGAATGTCAAGATTACAGGGAAATCGTAAAGGGATAGTCTACCCAAAAATAAAAATTATTTAAATGTCTAATTCTTTTTAAAATGTCTTTAAGAAACCTGTATGGCTTTCTTCTGTTATTTGTAACAGAACGTAAGCTGCTTTTTCCATACAATGAAAGTGAATGGTGGCCAAAGCTGTCAAGCTAAATGTTTTAGTGGAAAGTGACTTAAATAGTGACTGTTCCTTATACAAACTACCATATGGCTACAGAAACAGATTAAAAAAAAAAAATTTTTTTTGTAATATTTATTTTTTTGGTTTTGTTATTTTTTTTATTTTTTTTTATTTTTTTAGCTTTAGTTTTTTTCTATTTCTTTTTTTAGTTTAATTTTTATTTTATTTTTAAAAATATCAATAATTTTAGTATTTATTTCAATTAGCTGCAAAAGCAGATTTATTTTGTTTAATTTCAATTAATGGAAATGTTTTTAAATATTTTGATAGTTTTAGTTAACAAAAACAACACTGTTCAGAAGTTTGAAATATAGTGGGTTTTGTTATTTTTCTTATTTTCATTTATTTAGTTTTATAGTTATTATTTCAATTTCTTTTTTTGGTTTAATTTTTTATTAACATTTTTTTATTTCAGTAATATTAGTATTTATTTCAATTAGTTGCAAAGGCAGATTTATTTTATTTTATTTCAATTAATGGAAATGTTTTAAAATATTTTTGATAGTTTTAGTTTTAGTTAACAAAAACAGTGTTCAGAGGTTTGGAATATAGTGTGAGTCATGTGGACTACTTTTATAATGTTCGTATGGTATTTCATCCTTTTTGGAGCAGAACACAATCGGTTCACCATGCACATCATTGTATAAAAAAGCAGCTCAGACATTCTGCATTCAACTTGTTTAATGGAAAAAAACGTCATACAGGAGGGTGAGTAAATAACAGAATTGTTATTTTTTGAGCGAACTATCCCTTTAAATGTAATGTGTGTCAATCTCAGTATACACTGTTAAACAATCTCTAAATTCAAATTAGCTTTGACATTGATATGGACTATCATCTACAAGTACAGGTGAGTATTTTTTGCAGTGGGTGCAACTGTAGTTTTAGAACTGTAGACATTCAAATATACCATAACAACTAATGTAATCAATTGAGATTCTATTTATTGACTTACATCACCTTTCCTCCTTAAGGCCTGCAACATATATCGCCACTGGTCCTCTACTTCCCAAAAAAGAATGTGGAGAGTTACGCCATGGTGGTCTTATCCCACCCCATGAACCTCCAATTCTTCACAGCCTGCATGAACGTCCGTATACCGCCCGTACAAGACCTCACCGTGCTTTCTTACCCCACGGCACGTGACAATGAGCTCATGATCACTTTGGGCACCGAAGTGGGTCTCTGGATCGGAGATGAGTTTGTGAATTTACCATTCGAACGTCAATCCAACGATTGGACAAACTACTGCTTTACTTGGTCGTCACACACAGGAGGGGTTGAACTGTGGGTGAACGGACTGGTCGGTAAAGAGCGGTACATTCGGGCAGGATACACCATTCCAGCTGGAGGAAACCTCATTTTGGGAAAGGACCAGGATGGCCTTTTAGGGATCTCGGACAGTGATGCTTTTGTAGGGCACATGACCGATGTAAATGTGTGGGATTATGTTCTGACTGCGGCAGAGATTAAGGAGCAAATGTTGTGTGATAGTGGTAAAGTGAAAGGGAATGTCCTGAGCTGGGGAATCACTCCGCTCAGTCTGTATGGAGGAGTTCAGCTGCAGACTGAGCAGGTTTGCCTCTGAGAGAGAAAGAGATTGCCACAGGCTAAGAACTTTTTCAAACGAATGTCAATTTCAGCAATATTAGCTCTGCTAACTTGAACTGTATACTCTCCATGGGGACTAACTGGAATTGAGAAAGATATTCTAATCTATCTGTATTTTAAATACAAGCATTTCAATCTATTTTTACCCAACTGAATAATGTGAATCATATCTGAAGAATTTCAATAAACATTTGCATTCTTAACCTTCTTAACAGTCCAGATCTATTCATTTATTCCAAATGCACTTCGTGCATTCTATTCTATACCTTAAATATCTATTAAGAGCATGTTTCTAATTTCTGAAAGAAAGAAATTCTTGATATCACAATCCCAAAAACATTTTAGAAATAAAATCTTTTATTATTGCTTCTTAGAAAAGAAATTAGGCAGTGAAGCCATATGATGCAACAAACATGCAAAAAGGACCCCTGCAGACCCTTAAGGTCATAATGTCTTTCAAAAGATAGTTTGACCTTTATGACATGGCAATATTGTAAAATATGCAATGCAAATTATTATAAAGAATTATAAATGCTAGAGAATATTTGTACACAATACTGCACTTCTTACTATAAAAATATTCTCAGTTATAAGGAAAATATATGACTTTTTACTGGATTACATCAGTTGTCATTAAATGTAATAATGTTAATGTAATTTTCACCATATGAAAATAATATCAATACAAGAAGTTGGCACATTCATTTTAAACCTGATTTTTAAATGTTTTTTTTTTTTTTCATTTCTTGTACATTCTTATTTGTAAAGACCCCAAATAAAGATGACAATGAAAAGGCACAATATTTTAATGTTATAATACAGGACCTGTTCTTGCTTTCAAAACCCGGCAGACACTAAAAAAATAAAGTGCATTAAAACAATTCAAAGCGTTGCAGACAAACGCAAGAACATGTCCTGTGTAAACAACTCCTTATCCATTCAGAGAAATGTGTTTTTCATCTCCTGTTCGCTGCTTTCCCCTCCAGTCTCTTTGACCTCAGAGTCCCCAGCCTCCACCACAATGTCCACCTTGTTTCTCTGAGCAAAAAGCTTGCTGGTGTCCAGAAAGGTCTTGTTTTTGGTCTCTGGGATGATCACCCAGATGTATATAAGTGTGGCAAGACAGATGCAGGCAAACATTATGAAGCTGTAAGCGCCCAGGCCTCTCTGTAGATACAAATAAGGACACTTTTTCTGCTTTGATGATTCAGTGAGATTTGTAACTGTAAAAGGATTTGCACTGAGTCCATGAAAAAATAATCATCAGTTACTCATCGGAACAAATTTGGAGAACTTTAGCATTACATGACTTGTTTATCAATGGATCCTCTGCAGTGAATGGGTGCCGTCAGAGTGAGAGTTTAAACAGCTGATAAAAATATCACAGTAATCCAAAAATAACCCACAAATCATGTGGATTACTTTTGGATTACTGTGATGTTTTTATCAGCTGCTTGGGCTCTCATTCTAATAGCACTTATTCACTGCAGAGGATCCATTGATGAGCAAGTGATGTAATGCTAAAATTCTCCAAATCTGTTCCGACGAAGAGACAAACTCATCCACAGCTTGGATAACCTGAGGGTGAGTACAAATTTTCATTTTTGGTTGAACTATTCCTTTAATAACTTAACAAAAGCATCAACTGGTGCAATACTGTGACTTTGTTAGTGTTGTGTTTGACCTCTGACCTCTAGAAAGGGGAAGACCAGGCCGACTGTGAAGTTTGAGAGCCAGTGAACCGAGCCAGCCACCATGAAGGCTGGTGGTCTAGAAGACTGCCGGAACATCTCTGTAGTGATTACATTAGGAATAGCACCTGCAAAGGGATGCAGAAAAAGCTGTCAAATCTGGATATCATCAGACACGTCATCTTTTTACAGACAGTAAGAAAAGAGATTGCTTGAAACACTGTGCTGCTTTTACAATCTGTTTTACTGCCACTTTAAAGCACTTCTCCCGCATTCACTCCAGGGTTTTAATGTAAAATCCCAAAAACTGTGGCATAAATCTATTGTCATTCCCCACCAAGGAATACAACAAATGAAAGGGAGGGAGTGAATTCATTGGGTTGCAGCAAACCCCCCCGTGCATCTGCAATATGCCCCTACGGGATTGGTGTGAACTCACTTGGGCCAATAGTATGTCCGATGACGTAAACAATGACACAGCTGATACTGACATAGGGCATCCAGTCCAGTGTAGTCTGTGGGTGGAATGTGCAGCAGTTATTCTACCATTTATAGCCTTGCATTTCACACAGACCCAAGAGACAAATTTGTCAGGCCAGCACATTCACAGCTCTAAAATTAAAATCTCTGCTGGGACTGATATTTTACAATGCCTATAACACCTGTCTGTAAACAAGAATGTACTACAAACATAATGGGCCACATAAGGAAACTCCCTTATTGGGTTAAAGTGAATCTGATTAGTCATAACAACTAGCTCCAATATGAATCCTTATTGCTTGTATTAGGGGTCACGAAATCAAAAATCTGGTAGATATACATATAAACTTTTAATTATTATGTTATGGTCAATAACCAATAAATAACTTGCATTAAAATATTACTCTGACATTAATTAGACAAAAACATTTTAATTTTAACATAATACTTTGTCTAAATATACATTCAGTTTGTTTAAATATATTAAAAATAAAACACAAACATTTGAATTATTTGTGCTTATGTTAGGAATGGACAGAAATAAAATTCTCGTCAACACAGATAAACCATTTACCATTAATTATTATGTTATGGCCAATAACCAATAAATGTGGCCAAAGATTACATTTAACTGTATTATATCATTAATGCTTTCAACGACTGACTTAAAATGACCTTAAGATGTTGGCAAAAATAACCTAATGTAAAATCAGGGCAAATAATCACACATAATGGAATGTACCATATAAGCCGATATATATATAATTTTAGTTTCTAAACATTTGTAATATCTCCATATTTTATTTGTCCAAAATTAAGCATCTCTAGTTTGTATTTAAATAAATATAGAGTTGTTATACCTGGAAGTAAAGTGCTACAGTCAGAAGAACAGGCTCCACAGCAGACACCAAAGCCGATCAGTAGCAACAACTTTCTGCCAGATTTCTCCACTATGAACACCTACACAAACAGAAAATCATATTCTTTACACTCATATTTCTTTATGAAGTAAATGAGCTCCTCAAGAGGGGCATAAAGCTATAAAGCGCATTAATAAGTAAAAAAAAAACAAAATGAGACAATAAGTGGCTTACAGCTGCTATTGTCATGAAGACATTAACTGCTCCTGTTCCAGCCGTCACATACTGAACGTGCTCGTCAGCCACTCCTGCTGAGCTATAGATGCTGTCAGCATAGTAATAAATCTGAAGTGTGGGTTAAAATGAGGATTTAGTTAAGCAAACATTAAAAATATAGAACACCACACTTATGCTTTCAGAACAAAAACGTATTGCAAAGAATCATCTGTGATGTTTTAAAGTGGTGCCTAATAGTTTTTTTTTATTTTCTGTTTTTAATTCATGAAAATAAGCATGCTTCCTCAGAATGACTTGTTCTTCATATATTCAAAGTTTTGAAGAGTTTGGATAATGCACTTTAAAAATATAAGAAAATTACTGTTTCCTTTTTTACTCTTACTTTAATAAATTGCCATGGCAACACCTTTCAAGATATCCAAAATCCGTTCGCAATTTAAGTTCCTAAATGTTTTGCAATCATGTTGACAAAGTTTGGTGTGAATTCAATGATTTTCATATGACTAGTATGCATTAATTCACAGCCATATTTTTCCAAAAATCCACATTCAAATCAAAATAGCCGACTTCCTGTTGGTTGTAGCTAATGACTGTAAATTAGAAAGTAAATTAGCCAAACCGTCTGAGATATCAAAAATCCCTTCGCAATTTAGCATCCCCAAATTGTCTTGAGGTCATGCTGACCAAGTTTGGTGGCCATCGATGGGAAATCCTAGGAGGAGTATATCAAATTCCAGAGCATGCACTTTTTACACAGCCCTAGCCAACTTCCTGTTGGGCGGAGCCTATGGCATGCAGTGCGAAAGCTGTTCGGCTCAATGAGATCTATATGTGTACCGAGTTTCATATGAATGCATGCAAGTATGTGTGAGCTATACATCAAGATTTGTGACTGTGTTCCAAGGGGTGCCGTAGAGCCCCTGTGCCACGCCCGGGTCCCAGCCTCTGCTATGTCCTAATGACCGCAGATTCCAACGTGTCAAGAGTTTTTGAGCATGTTAAGGCCCCCAAAAAGCCCCGGATAACAAATACAATACAAAGTAAAAAGCTTTAAAAAAAGTTTAGGCTTAAAGCGTAAAAGTGTCTTGAAGAAAATAACGAGTGAGATATTACTAATGTATTTTGTATCATACAATAAAACATGAAAATATTTTGAGCTTATTAAGCTTGACCTATTGAGTGTTAACTACACTGCCCTACAAAGGCAAAAGACATTAACTCCCTAGAGTGTGAAACTGAGAAAAATGACTTTAAAGTTTTTTACTTGTTCAGCCAAATTAATTACAGGTAGGATACTGGAAATTTAACAATTAGATGTTTTAGTAATGAAAATGATCTACATTAAAAAATTGTGAGCTCAAACTTGATTTTTACCCCTATTTTGAAGTTAATATACTCTGCCTTTGCATTGTCTGCAAAACGTGAGAAGTCACACCAAGGCAAAATGCAGTAACTTCCACATTATCAATATTTTGTTGCTGATCACCATTTACAAAATCGTTATAGTAAAGCCCCGTTCACACCAAGAACGATAACTATAAAGATAACGATATTAGCGTCCAGCGAGGAGAATACTTTTTGTACGCGAAGAAAACAAAAATAACAACTTTATTCAACAATTCGTCTCCTCTGTGTCTCTCCGCGTCACTGTAGCGCCATTTTCATATTCTGTGTCAGCTCAGCCACGACACAAGGATATGTTTTCTACATGTATTTACGCTGTGATTTGAACGAAAACAGCGCATCCGTGCAGCGAACTAAATTAAAAATTAGCCTCTACTTAGTTAGCTCGCTACTCGAAACGCTGAACTATTTTAAAATAGCGCTTCTGTGAAGCTATTTCAAATGAAATTTGGTAGGGTCGCTGCTTATGTAGCTACTCACCACAGTTTGGCAGTCAGGACAATCATTCAGACACATGGTCAAGGACATGATCAAGAGACATGATCCAGGCACATGATAGAAGGACATCATGCAGGGGACATACCCGACCAAGGGACATGCTCGGAGACACGAGCAAGAGGCATAATTCAGGATATTTCCTCATGGGATAGGCCCTACCAGCTTGATAACAGAACAGTTATAAAAAAAAATACTTGGAAATTAGAAAGAAGCAAATGTCGAATTAATTATTGATTGCTGACGTTCAGTTAAATGTGATTCTGCAAAACGAAGGTAATTTTTTTGCACAATTGCACCCTTCATTAGCCTAACGAGACTTTTTCACGGAGCTCTAAATAAAAAATAAAAAAATCATACAAATAACAAAATGATTATTTTAATTCACAAAAGAGTAAAAAAGATCAGGTCTATATAATATATTCCAGTCTATTCCATAAAATGTATTTGATGATGAGATACAGAGCCACTTTTGAGAAAGCAGCGTCCCCAAACCCTTTGATCAGCGTGACACGGACAGCAGGGGTCTCTGTCTGACCAGTATCTGCTCCCTCCTGCAGTGCAGCACTGCAGATTCTCTCATTCCTATTCCTCCTTCAGCAACTCATTAATCAAATTGATTGGACCTCATCAACTTAAACAGAGATCCTCAGCTGTTTATTTCAGCAGGTCGAGGGCTGAACACCCCACTGGGGATTGTGGTGAGGTGTGTGTCCTCACAGTCAGGACTGTGTGTGGGAGTTTAAAAAAGCTCTCCTTTAGGTGGCTGTCCTCTGCAGTGATATGCAGTCATTGCAGACACCCACTAAGGGCTGTAACGCACCCAAGCGATGGACACTGAAGTGAACAAAGGTTCAAGAAAAGGTAAGTATTATGTGACTTTCCCAAAACAGACATGAGTCAAAAAAAATTCCAGAGCAGAGAGAGGGAATATATATATATGTTAATATGAAAATTTATCTTTGAAAATAAATCAAGTTTACACACACAATATGTGATTCTGTTTTTAAGATTAAATTTCAATTGTATTACAAAGGATCAAATTTAGAGTATATATCATGATTAATTAAATAAATGAAATTAAAATAATTCTGAATTTAAAGTAGGCATATGAACTCTTAAAACTTGGAAATCATAATTCTCAGATGACAAACAACTACATTTGCTATTAATTTAACATTTGCTATTGATTAAACACACGCACACTTTTATACTCTACACAGCACATTGCCAAAAATACATACTAAGTGCTTGAATGCGAATCCATTCTGTTTATCACTGTGGATTGTGGTAAATCTGTTTTCTGACACTTTTGTTAATAATGTGCTTTAAGTGAATAACCAAATTCAAGTGATTGTTCTGTCCCAGCTTGCCAGTGAAACATTACACTGCACTTGTGTTCATGCCAAAATTAAAACCCTTTCGCACGTAAGTTTAAAATATTCTAGCTGAGCCCACAGCGTGAGTTTTTTTTTAGGCGACCGTTATTTTAAAATGTATTGCCTTACTGTTTCCATGGCGACGCGTCATGCTTGTCATGTGACACAACGCAGCCACAATAGACCTGTATGACACATAGATCGATTTTATTTCGTTTTTCCTGTTTTATTCAAAATATTCACAAACATGCTCACTATATAGTTTTGCTAGTACTTATGTGTATTTAAATGTCTTAAACCTAAAATAAGTATTTTAATGGTTTGAAAACAATCAATATTTGTGATTATATGACAAGCGCTTAGCGCGTCCGATCTGGCTCTGCGCCAGGCAAAGCGCGAAAGCGGATTTAAATTCAGCAGTTGATGACGTGACGCACTTGTGATCGTACGCTTCAGGGACCAGCCAAGACTGATCACACCGGTGTGATCGTACGCGTCAAAGGGTTAATGATACATGCTTCAAAAATGACTGTTGAGCCATGTTTGCAGTTTCCGCTCATAAGACTGGCTTGTCAACTGACACTGCCTCAGGGTTAGCAATACCATAAGAGTTGATATATATACAACATCCTCTTCCCTCAGCTTATGTAACGGAGTTATTTTGGTTATATTATTTTCACTCAAAATCCCCCTTTTTCCTATTAAATATAAATTTAATTTTGTTTCTTTAATATGACTGTATCTATTATTTTATTGTTACAAGTTAAGATGTATGATTTTCAAGATTTGTTCAAGGAAGTGCATTGTCACTTTAAGAGTATATACTTGTTCTCGCGCCGCGCGCGCGCTTTGCCCGCTCAGTTCACTTCCTTCTGAGCCGAGAGAAGTTTGTCTCGTGGTTCGTCGAGGCATTAAACGGTGTTTACTTAAATGAAGAGAGTCACAAAATTCATGTTTTCAACATATTTCCCCATTTATGCAGAAAATAAAGACAGTGCCAAGCAGTGAGCGGTCTGAAGTTTCTTTATTGAGTGACATCAACACAACGCAGAGTGGATTCCCTTACCTGGGACCCGTTACACTTACATAACCAATCAGCACAACATTTACCATTGTATTCAGCGTGTGCCCTTTTCCCAGCTATCCTCAGAATAGTTCCTCTTCTTGTTAACTGAAAGCAGATCTGATATCACGCTGAGATAATGAAGTCGCTCTGTATCCTCACTGTGGTGAAACTGGCATAGACTGAGTCTTATACAGCATGTATGATCAAATATTTAGAGAAGCTCCGATACAGCTCAGCTCCACTCTAAATGCATATTAGCCAACTTCAAGCGAGACTCAACTGAATGTCAAGGATTGAGGGAATGTGCTGGCGCAATCATTTAATAATTTACGGATAATTACCAAGCAGATTCTCTCCATAACCTTACACATGGCCAAGAAAGAGTGTTCAGTGATGGTAGACACCTCTGACTGTTTTGTGGATGTGAAGCTTAAATAACTAAATAAGGTCAGCATGAAATGAAAATTCTATCTTTGCAAATGCACGTTATTGATCTTATTGTAAATTATTCATCTTTGTATATTTACATTTTTTAAACGCGTTTCATTTTTAACATTTTTTGACCTTGTAATGTTTCACCAAAATGTCCTAGCTGGATTTTCCAGTGAAAACGACTTTGAAAAAGACTTTTCTCTGCTGATGTATGCAGCACTTCTCCAATCATTTAGTTCGCTTATGCCCCTCCCCTGCAAGCTCATGTTCATCTTCCTCCATTGTTTAAATGCAATGCCTACATCTCAAAATTCAAACAACTAGGCTAATGCATAGAACCAAACCTCACACAATAATCTGACCAGGGTTGTTATCATTTAACTAAAATGATTAGAAACATTTTTGTTAATTAAAATAAGGCTAAAATGTAATATATATATATATATATAAATATATAAACGTAAACTATATGAAAATAAAAAAAAATAATAAATTAAAGCACTAAATTTACTAACTGGAAATAAATAAAAAATGGAAATAATAAAAATGACAAAACACACACAAAAAATAGAATACAAATCTAACTAAAAGAAAACTTTAAATATAAAAACAAAAGCTAATTCAAAATATTTATGAAAACAATAATAGTTTATAAAAATAATAATAAAATAACTGAATCTGACAGGTAATGAATCGTTTTATTGAAATTAATTGATATGTTGATAAAATATAACTATAATACAAATTCATAACTACATAATTTATAATATACAAAGATTAAAAGGCACTTCTTCCCCATTGTGTGTCATAGGTATGTTTAAGGCATTGTGTGAAATAACAATAAATGTGCATGTTGTGACTAGGTGCATGTGACTCTATACAGAGAAAAGTGAAAAAAAAGATATGACATTATACATACATAGGGCAATACTAAAAAGCAATACTATACATTTGTACATACAAATACAACACATAATACACATAATTCATGGATTAAAAACATATTAAATGTAAAGTAATAACATTGCATTAAGAATGCTTTGGTGGGAGAAAGAGGGAAGAAATCCCTTGTAAAAACACTTCACAGTACATTTGCCATTTTGGTCACTAGATAATAAACTGCTGTATCCCTCGTTTCCCCTGAGCTACAGATCTCATTTCTATTTAAATGCACATGAGATATCTGCAGCAGCAGAATGAAAACAGATTTGGAAGACAGAAAGCCTCTCGCCTAAAGTGCTGAGCTAAACCGGTAACAGAAAGTGCGTTTGTGTTCCATGCTCTGCGGGTTTTGTGCATGTGACCGCAGTCCCCTGTAATCCGTGAAGGCGCTTGGTCAAACAAGAAAGCTGAGTGTAAGGCTCTGACGTAACTCCAACAACCACAACAGAGAGCTGTAAAGTCAGAGCTTTCACTCCATTCAAATAGAGTTAAATGTGCTGCAGCAGATGGAGGATCCTAGCAGCTTTTACCCCTCACTGTTCTTCCAGGTTTGGGGGTTGGGGTTTTCCTCCCTGTGTGAAGGCGTATATGCACTTTCCCTGTTCTGGGACACTGATTCTGTACGCCAGTGTCTGTCCTGACCTCTGCAGCACAGCAGAGCCACCAGACGTGATCGAATCGAGGGAGTCAACAGCACAAACATGACGCAGTTAGCAGCTCCTTGAAAGGTGTTTCCAATTCCCTATTAAATACAATGAAATCAGAATCATTGGGTTGCCAAATGCAATAAAGGCAAGTACAGATAAATGACTTTGATGAAGTATACAAATAAACCGCATTAATGGGACTTCGGCTGGAAGTAAATCAGGTTAATTTCAGACTAACTAAGTGGAACCGGGTGACTCACATGCAAGGTGACCAGCACAGGGTTGTGTCCTGCAGGGGAGTCGGTCAGCAGGAGCAGGAAGCGGATGGTGCTCCACATGCGGAGCATGATGAAGATGATGGGGATGAGGGTGAACTTCCTGTCTGCCATGGAAGACAGCGAGTGAGAGACAGAGCTGCTGGTCAGGATGGGACGGTACTCAGACAGGGCTGCATGCTTAAATACATCCCCCCAAAAAAGGGCATTAAAAAGGAATCAGCATTCTTTAGTCTTAATGAAAAAACTCACCTAAAATAAAAAATCTGACAGAAGAAAGTAAGTCATATGGGCTGCCTGCTCTATAAGATTTTTTAAATAAATAAAATTAATGTTTTTATTCGGCAAGAGTTAATCTAGAATTAAAGAATGATCATTAAATTGTTTAAAAGTGCTGTAAATGCTGT